CCATGCGTGCTTTTCCCCCGTCCACCTTGATCCTCCCCTTTTCTCCACCCCATCTCCTCCCACACAAGCAATCTGTCCCTAATTCCTTTTTCCCTGTTGGTCCTGGGTTGGCTGCATCCCAACCCCAGATGTGGCAACAAGCTCCCTCTTGTTATTTTGGTTTCTGAAAGCTTTAGTTAGTGGAAACATCTGCCGCTGCCTGACAGATGGATATTAAGATGACGTCCACCATGCCCACCTCCCAGCTCCCGCAGGCAGGATTGGACTTGCTTGGTCTCTGCACTGAGAGGCTCCCGGGGCTGAGACCTCAGCGCAGAAATCTGCATTTTTTCCAGTAAATCTGAATAAGCCACGTGCTACCTGGATGCTGCAGGATCCTCATCCCCTGCAAGAGCAGAAACGGCTACCGGCGGGGACACGGCCGGGGCCGGCGGGCGCTGGCAGCTCCGTGGGGACAATCACATGTCTTTGCAGGCAGCAGCGAAGCCTTGCAAGTGGTACTGGAATGAAGAGCTTATTGCCGTGGTTGAACGTGCCAACAGAGATCGACCACAGCAGAGATGTGCCAGGCTCCTGGCGCTGCCACGGGGACGCTTTGGGGACAGCTTCACGGCACGACCCTTCGCTCGCCTGTCAAAGGCGTCTCTGATAAAGTGGTTGATCGGAGAGGTTTTAGAGCACCACAGTCGGTGAGGGGTCACCCTCCGGCTCGTTTCCCTCATCTCACTACCGAACGGGGCCATGGGGAGCACCCTGACCGTGCCAAGGCCATTCCCCGTACCAATCCCGGTTGCACTTTATAAACCCCAAACCACCCCGGTAAAAACAGGAGAACGGAGCAGCAGCGATGGCCACAGCTCCGCACCCAACCTGCCCCGTGGCAGGTGGATCCACAGAGAGAAAGATGTTATTTTTACCCACTTCCATGTTTGCCACCGTCAGCTGGTGTACACGTGTGCTTGCATTTAAAAGATATCCTATAATCACTATATATGGGTAACATACACGTTAGGAAAGAGCAAGAAGCCGCTCGCAAAGCCGAGGCGCCAGGCACGCACACAGGGACGCTACAGGTGACAGCAGTTTCTTTAGCCCAGAAATTAAAATGAAATAAGTTTTTGTTTTTAACTGAGTTTCTCCCCTGAAGCACGTATTGCACAGAGCTGCAAGGAATGAAGTGTGCCTCTGAGAGTCACCGGAAAAAGTAGCCTTCACTGTAATTTATTACAAGGTTTTAACTCAATTCGGGAGCTGGTAATTGCATAGCTTGCTTTTTTTTTTTCCAGACTCTGCAGAGCCTTAATGGCTTTGGCAATTAAAGTAACCAGATTACCCATAATGGGAAGCACATTTAGAGCGACACAGCGGTACTAACAAACAGTTATCTGAGCCGCTTTCTTTTACACTGCCGAAAATGCCGTGTGTCAGCTGCGGAGTGGCCTTGCAGGAGCAGCAGCTCTGCTTCCCGCCGCGCTCGGAGATGGGGAATCAGCAACACCGCACCGGAGCACTGCAAAACCGGGCAGGGTTTTTGGAGAGAAGGACTTTTCTTCGCTGTTTTGCTCTGACAAGCTGTCCCCGGGTTTAGGGGAGGGTTTTAGGCGTCTTCAGGATCCCAGGGGATTTTTCCTCCTGCTCCAGAGTTCGGTTCGGTTGAAGTCAGAAGCAGTTTCTAGGTTGCCTTTGGGTTCAAAATCCACTGCCCGGCACATAGCGGGGGCAGAGCGAGCTCTGCTTGAAAGCTGAAATTCAGGGAAAAATAGTCAATAAGTCAATTCACTGGCAGGAAAAAGAAAATCAGACCGAGGGAAAGCCGGGCTCTGTCTTTGCCCTTTGCCTTAGCAAAGCTTCCACTTGATGTCATAGTGTGGGTTTACACTGACATGAGAAGCTTTCAAAGCGAAAAGCCGCCAAGTTGCAGGAAAAGCTGCAGCCTGCTTTTCCATCCTAAAACCGACGGCCTAAACCCCCACTTTTTGGGGTGAAACAAGTCGCCAGGTTCAACCCAAAGTCTCCATGTTTTGCAAACCCCAGCTATTCCTGCCCAGCCGTGCTCG